AAACGGGAACCCAAGTAAGGCCTTTCCTTGCTCGGTGATTTGCGCATCGATGCGACTCTCATCGGTGCTGCCCTCTTCAACGCTAACACTCTATCTGCTAAACCGCCACAGACTCACATCCGAGACGACGCAAGAGGGGGCATACAGCTCCAATAGCGCCCAATTTTGCCGTGGAGGAGGCCCTGGTAGATCGCCGGGGCATATCCTTCAGTACGAATAAGCGTGTCGATCTGCACCCTTGAAACGTCCGCCTGTCTCTGAACTAGGTAAAATTCCCCTCTTTCGACATTCATTCTTATCACGGAATCCTCCCTCAGGGGAGCCAGCTGGTCTTGATGGGAATGGGGGCATGGGCGGAACATACTACTACATGGAATGTCTTCTTTACATAAACTACAACCTTTGTGTGTCGGTTTGTTTGTGTGTATGTTGTATGTCTGTCCGTCCGCAAAATGAAGTGAGTGATAAGGCAAGCTAATGGAATAAACAAACCGCTAACAAATCGGGGTAGCTCGCAGGATTTGCCCTATCAATGTTTTGCAATGGCATGATTGTGATAACACCCCAACGGCTATATAAACACCTGCTAGCACACTTCCGGTCATTCCACAAGGTGCTGCAGTGGCAGCTGGAGAGCAATGGAAGAGGGGGAGGATAAGGAGAGGAGGACTACGCAAAGCTTACGCAGGGAAGGAAGGTTCCGACGGGAACAGTGGGGGACCAATCTGGAAATAGGAATTTCACAGTCGAGCTATTATTAACGTGTATACTGCAACTTATACTATAAACACTGGGTCCTTGTTTAGCCCAGTACTGCAGAAAATGTCCTGGTATTTCAAAGGGAGTTAGTACTTTTTTCTATGCAATTATGCGAAGTTCTCAGAGCTCTATTTTGGAATCATTTATTTTTTAAAGAACTGCTTCGTCAGCAAAGCTGCAAAGCTAGTAAATAAGCAGTTTCCATCTTGATATTTATTTCTCCATTAACGACGCTTTTTCTGCTCGGTAGCGCTCTGGCTTTTTTGGCCCGCGGTAGCTCGTCTTGGGCGATCCTAAATAAATGCATGAACAGTTGAAAGCTTGAGACTCTATCCTTAGAATAGTGTTAGCATCGTCTGTCGGTCTGTTCGTGCTTCCATCCGCAAGCTTCAATGCTTTGCTTGGGCGGAGTGGATCCGCCAGCTGGTGAGTTTCCCTTTCGAGGCTTATGTGCCTTGTAACTAGCGCATCTTTCACACCGAAAACGCCACACTTCGCTTCCTTCTCCGCTTGGCTACACATCTGCTGTCTGTACCTGCTGATACCGCCAATTTTGTCGTACTCAGAGCTTTCCACATTTTATAGAAGCACCAGTTTTGCTCCGCGCGCATCACAGGGTAGGGAGGAACCACGGAATAGCAGCATGACGTACTCCATTAACCACCTCACTATTGAATGTGTTATACCTCCTTATACCCCTTCTCTCCGGCGCATGGCAGCACCATGTTCTCCCTCCCTTTCTCCTCTCCCTCCCTTCCCTCCCTCTCCCCTCTGCTTTCCCCCTCCCCTCTACCTCCCGCCGACTCCGGCTGCCCCGGCAGCACCATGTAGAATGAGGCTGAGTGTGCTCGTTCGGTGTTTTTGTAGCCATTGTGGGTGTTATCACAATCACCACATCAGGTTAGAATAATACGTCAACATGAATATAGACCTTACTCTTGAAAACGGTCGTTCTCTCTCAGTCTCTCCTCCCCCACCTCCCCCTCCTTATACCCTCCTCTCCGGCGCATGACAGCGCCATGTTCTCCCTCCCTTTCTCCTCTCCCCCTTCCCTCCCTCTTTCTCTCTCCCCCTCCCTTCCAGCCTCCCCTTTCTTGCCCCCTTCCCTCTACCCCCTCCCCCTCCCCGCTCATCCGGCTGCCACGGCAGCAC